CATTTAGAACTGTATTAAATAAATACATATAGTAAATTTGGACATAATAGATATAATGACATGAATACACTTGCTGAGTAACTACCCAATGGTAGCACTCTAATGATATGACTACATTAGGAGATCACGGGGCCATCTTCTTTTCAGACGCCTCGGAGGGTTATCAGGAATTGAAGAGGAAGCAAGGTTAGAAACGAGAGGGTTGGGATGATTCTGAAGTTTATTATGGAAGGATAGGTATCTGGATTGGGTCAGATCTGAAACATAAGAAACATTAAGGTCTTCATGGATAATTTTATTAGTGACAAAGTAAGGAGCATTGAGGATTTTACGAAGGATTTTGGATTGTAAGGATTGGATGCGAGAGGAATTCGATGGTTTGGTGGAGCCCCATAGCTCAACTCCGGAAGTCCAAATAGGTCTTATTATAGTCAAGTATTTGAGTCTTTTGTAATTAATGGGAAGTTTAGAGCGTTTGTCTAGTAAGTGCTGAAGTAATCGGAAACGTCGAGCGGTTTCTTGTCGTTTCAGTCTAGTATAAGGATTCCAAGTTAGTCGTTTGTCCAGGTGGAGTCCTAGGTATCGGATTTGCTCAACAGGGATAAGTGGAGTATTGTTAAAGGAAACTGTAGGACAGGCAGTCATTGGTTTACGACGAAAAATAAGGAATTTAAGTTTGAAAACGTACCCACTTATGTGTATCTCGGTTCTGCCCTAAATAATGAAAATTTAATCAGCAAAGAAATTAACTATAGAATAGTGGCTGTTAATAGAGCCTATTATGTAAATCTTTAACTTCTCTAGGCTCAGTCATTATCAAAAGCAACAAAATTAAAGCTAAATAAAACTCTTATTAGACCATTAGTCAGCTATTGAGTGGAAATCTGGTATTTTTCGCAAGATGATTAACTAAAAGTATTTGATAACAAGATTATAAGGCGAATTTATGCTGCTACAAGAGTTAATGATGAGTGAAAAATTAACACTCCGAAGGTCGCACCGGATCTGAGAGAGCCTTTAAGCGCTCTATTTGATGTATTTAATGGGTTGTTCGAAAAATAATGCAAGATTTTGAGTTTTTTTTAATACCTTACCTTTTTTAATGATTTAATACCTTACCATTTTAAGATTTAATACCTCTATATACCATTTACTGGATTATTCATTTGTATGAATGTCAACACATATTAACGATAATAACCCTTTTCCAAACGATATTTGTTTACCTTTACCGCTGTAGTATTTTGTTGCTTAGAAATAATTCAGTCTTTACTAAGGTGTCAATGCGTAATTTTCGTATAATTTTGTTTTACGAGTTTAAAATCGGCTGGAATGGGGTCGTCCTGACGGCCAGAAACATCAATCAAGTTTGGGGTGAGAGCAACATTAATGAGTGCCTTGTTCAATGGTGGTTTAAAAAATTTTGGGAGGGAGACTTCAGCCTTGATGACAAAGAAGGGCGTGGAAGGACTTTCTCTCTTGATGACGATGTTCTGCAGGCTTTGGTGGAAGAAAACCCCAGAACAACTGTTCGAGAACTTGCAGCGAAACTTAACTATAGCAAACCAACCATCGATGACCACCTCATGGCGATTGGAAAGGTAAAATAGCTTGAAAGTTTGGTTCCACACACACTAAATGACTGCCAAATAACCAGCATTATGAAGTTAGTGCTACACTTCTTTGCCGATACGAAAAGATCCTTTACTGTCCAGAATTGTTACTTGTGATGAAAAGTGGATACTTTACGATAACAGTAGACGTTCTGAACAGTGGCTCGACATAGAAGCAGCAGAACATTTTCTGAAGCTACCAACTCATTAAAAAAAAGTGATGGTTACTGTTTGGTTTGATAAACTACATCTTCTTAATTCCTGGAGAAACCATCAATGCCGAATTGTATTATAACCAAATTAATGCAATACATCAGAAATTGGCAATAATGAAACCATCTTTGGTCAATCGAATGGGGCCCATTTCGTTGCATTACAACGCCTGGCCACATGTCTCATATGTGACGTCACAAAAACTGTTGGAGCTTGGATATGAAACTCTTGCCACATACTACTACAGATTATCATTTTTTTTAGAAACTTGGACCACTATTTACGTGACACAAAATTCAATGGATAAAGGGGATTAGAAAATGCGTTTTTGGAGTTTATCAATTGTAAAGATTGGAAATTCTATTCCGATGGAATGGAAAAGTTGCCATTGATAGTAGTGGAGACTATTTTGATTAAATAAAACAGTTGCAAATCTTTCTTTTTAAACTAAAATCCTGCATTATTTTCTAGACTACCCAATATTATCTGAATAGATTTTTACATACATTTGTTTTGGAATTTGTTATAATTTGAATAAAAATTTTATTTAAGATTTTTGAAAACGAGCTTTGTTTTAGAAAAATACATTTCTAAAAAATGATTGAAAAATGTATATCTGCAATTTGCATGCTTACTTTAAATGTTAGTGTCTTGACAATGAGACAAAGCTCGTTTTCAATAATTTTAAATAAAATTTTTATTCAAATTATAACAAATTCCAAAACAAATGTATGTAAAAATCTATTCAGATAATATTGGGTAGTCCAGAAAATAATGCAGAATTTTAGTTTAAAAAGAAAGATTTGCAACTGTTTTATTAAATCAAAATAGTCTCCACTACTATCAATGCATTTCTGCCTACACGTTGGCAACTTTTTAATTAAATAATTTAATATGAAAAGAAATTTTAAACATAGATATGATTTTTGTAATTTTTATTCAAAAATAAAAAATACGAAATTTTGGAAGTACCATAATAAATTATTATGTAACTTCCACAATTTTTTATATCCTTTTGTATCTTATCTGTTCTCACCCTGAAGAAGACCTGCAAAGTCGGGTTGAAACATTGTCTTTTAACAATAGTTTTGCCACTATTTTAGTCTATTTATGACTGCCACTCCGGACCATCTGCTTCCTCTATAATACAACAGTCAATTATTAAGTATTCGATTTTTACTTTGATGTCTAAGATTTGACTACCGAAAAACATGCCAACAATGTAAAGAAATAGACCAACTGGTACCTGCCTGAGACATGTTTGAAATTTGTCAGAAACTGCCAATCTTATTATTCATTTGGAGCAGATGTGACCTTCGATGAAAAATAGGAGGCCTTTAGAGGCTGATGTTCATGTTGTGATGATGTTTGTATTAATTATTTTGTTATCCAATTTAACCCTGTTATAATTGTTCCTGGTATTCAGTGATTTTTTTGTTTCTATTTAATAGTATACAGAATTTAATGTTCAAATTCCTTATTTTGTCAATGTATTTTTCTTTTTGATTTTTACTATTTTTTTTTAAATTGTGTAACTGTGATACTCAATAAATATTTTTAAAAACTTATCTTATATTTTTTTATTTTGGTACAATAAGAAATTTGTTGGTATTTTTAATCAATAAATTGATTTAGTGAAGTGGATCTCGCAGATCCCTAGCAACCTTCCTTGTGACTGTAAGGCTAGCGACTTTTGGAGTGTTAAGACCAACAATGAAATTGAGACTATTTTAAATAATAATAACATTATTAACTGTATGAAGGACAGTAGGCTCAGATGGGCAGATCATTTGGTCAGCATGGAGGATAAATGAATGCAAACAAAAATAATACTAGGAGCGCTTTTCAGTGGGAACAGAAAAAAGGGAAGGCCGAGATGCAGGTGAAAGCATGAAGTGAGGAAGTTAAGAGTCCGCAATTGGAATAAAGAAGCAGAGGGTGGAGAAGAATAACTCAAAATCCCAAGGGTCATACGGACCTGTAGCACAAGGGAGTTAGTATCATAAGTAGCATGTTTGTAATATAATTGAAGGATCATATTATGTATTGTTTTATGTGGTATCTCAACCATGTGCAACAATATGAAATGATGCAATTAGTAACATTATTAATTCTTTTGTGTTTCCATTAAAGGGAAATAAGTTTCAAAATATGAAATTACTACTTATTTCTTTGTACAACAAATCCATTACTTTGTTTGGGATAAAAATGTAGAGCATACAGTGTAAAATCATGCCCGAAATAAAAAAATTCTTTTATGGGGGGTCCCTCTGTCAATGACCAAACCTGCAATAACTTGATAATGTTAAAAACAAAATTCCAAAAAATTGGTTCTAATTATTCTGACTTCTGACTAATCTTCTTCAACATCTAAAAAAATGTTCACTGAAACAGTAAAAAAATAATCCAATTGGGATATTATAATGTTGAGGTACATAATATTTGACACTATTGTAGATCAAAAGTATATTACTGATTTTAAAACAATACTTTTTATTTAATCTTGTGATTTAGAATCTTATAGTTCACTCATACCTGACATTTGTTGACTACTTTTAGAAAAATGTAGGGAAGAATGAGTTATGTTCTTAATTTTAAAACATTTTTCAGAGAATTTATAAAAGTAACAATTTTAATGATAGTCAACATTTGATTAGTAACATCTTACCAATGAAAATACTCTTCGTCATCTGACTGTTATAACATAAGGTCAGTCCCATTCATTTTATAAAATGCAGTTAAACTCTGTTGAAACAATATTGGATTACAAACAAATGAATACTACAAGTATTCAGATAGTTTAAGTGAAAAGATCATTAAAAGCAAAGAAAACCCCTTTGACAGAAGTATTGGATGGTTCTCAGAGGGTGGAGGTACCTGGACATGTTTCTCTTTCCTGCATGTCCACCTCTAGTTTATTCTATACTCTAAGGATTTCCCTCCAGTTAAGAGTGCCTATCCACTGGGTAACAGTAAATAATACTGATTATTTAAGTTAACCCAAACATTTTCATATTGTGATAAGGACAAAAATGAGTCAAAGTAAACAGATATTCTTCTATTAAGAATAAGTATCTTTTGTTATTAAAAAAACTATTTTCTATTAATTTGTACTATTTTTCTTAATTTCTTAAATATAATTTTTGAAGGATCATACTTATTTTGTTATTCCAGAATATGCAAACTTCATTGGACAATTCACCTAGTGAAGAAATTAATCAAAATGATGACATCAATCCTAATGATCTTAACAACCAAAATAACAGTTTGAATTTAAATATGACAGCAAAAGAATTGCGGGCCCAACTTGCTGCAAAAAAGAAGTATGATCCTAAGAAAGATCAAACAATTGATTTCAAGAAAAAATATGATATAGTCCAAAAGTTATGATAAAAGTTTTTATTTTATATTTTTGTTTTTTTCTTGTAAATGTTACCACATTCCTTGTACAAATATAATTTTTTTTTTTTCTAAAACATTTCACTTCTCTGTTCTTTTATATTACCATTATAATTGTTTCGTATTTTAATTCTAAACAACATGAAAAGGGAGAGGGAAATTGAAACTATATTTTATCAATAATTTTATTATTTAAGAAGTTATTTAATTAAAACAACTATTATATGTTGAATAATTGTAATATAGAATATCTAAATAAATTAAAATAGTGATAGTTATTATTTTAAAAAATTGTATATCATAGAGATCTGTTAACTTCTACAAATTCAGGTAATTAAATGAAACTAATGATATTATTTATAGTTTCTAAAATTTATGAATTATGAGCAATGGTTGATAAATGAGGAAGGCTGTATTTACACTGAAGATATACACATATATATTTAAGCTTATGGCATTTGTTATATTATATTTGTTTATAAATAAATATATATTTTATTCTATCTTTTATTAATTTATGGATGATAAAAACCTTTTAAATATAAAAAAATTATATTTTTACTGTTCATTGAATAAAGAATTGCTAATTACTTAAATTTTGACTTTTGTGTTGTAACAATTTTATTTTATGAAAATGCTTTTTAGCTAATTTTATTTTATTTGATACTTTAAGGGGGCTAATAATAATCATGTCTCTGGAGGCAGCAAAATTAATAAGCATTGTTCCAGTATTGTTAGATTTGTCATGGAGACTATATTTCCCTATTTTTGCATTAAAGTCTCCAGCGGTTATTATCATATCATACCTTTGGTACTGATCAAGGGTTCGTTGGAGCTGTTCATTAAAGGTATCCTTATCTTCCTCACTCGAAGCTTACGCCGAAGCATGCATACTAATAATACTTAGTTATGGAACTTCACACGAATCCTTAGTAAACAGATATGCGGGTTCACAGGCTTAAAGCCAATGACCAGTTGCCTAAATTGGGCTCTAACAACAAATCCTACGTCATATTCATGGAGGGCATCGCTGTACCTTTATTATTTTATTTAAACCCTACCCTGCCGGTAAGGCAATGCGGGTGTTATGCAGCAGTAAGAAGCAACGCATGCGTTACAACTCTTGCTGCATTCAGACCATTTTTTATTTTTCAGCTATGCACACAGCCTGGTCTTCTTTTTAGCCAGCATCGTGTTCTATCCTCTCTGGTGGTCTTCGGGATGCAGATTCATCTCTTCTTCTCAATGAAAAATGAGTTGAACCAACGAGTTCCTTACACCCGCATACGAAGGCCTTGTAGAACGGATATTTTTCTTTTGTCATAAGTTGAGGGAGATCGCTCTCCGTCAGAACGTAAAGCCCCGTCTCCCTCAACAACTTAGTCCTCAGTGCCTCAAAGGCGGTACAGACAAGGATGATAAGCTCGGCGATCTCCGCCACTCTGCAACTTGAGCATAGGGGATCAATGTTCTTATCATATTCAACGAGCTTTGCTCGGAAACCCCCATGCCCTGTGAGACCAAGTAGTCCGGGAGAACCCATGTCTGTTCCATTCTTGAACCAACGGTGGGAAAGTATTTTCTTAGCCCTTTTGGCGACGTCACCCACCGCTGATTCCATACTTTTAATGTGTTCTACCGAAGAATGCTCTTCCATCTATTAGGCTCTTCACTGATCCTCACTCGGAGATTCGCCGGTAGATCCACCAGGCCTTCCCTGTTCATCTTATGCCGAAAGTATTCTTCTCGTAGGAGTAGTTACGGCTAAGACTTGTACCGCCACATGAGACACTGTCCGGCACACTCTAGTGACCCGCAGCAGAGCCATCCGCTGGATTATTGCCAACCTTTTCTTCTGTTGGGGCGAGAGATGACTCTCCGCAGGGGACGCATATCTCAGGATGCCCATAATAACTCCTTTATAAATAGTCAACGTGGCTGGGTACCTGAGACCCCAATAGTCGCCCCCGATGCGACTAAGTCTATTGAGAGCCAGGGCCACCCTATTTTTCATGTAGTCCAAGTGAGGCGCAACGTTGAAATTTCTCCCAATTCTTATGCCAAGGTAAGTAACAGCCTCACTTGGCTGTTCTCCTTCTATTCTGAGAGTTATAGGGTGGGCCCTGTCAGTCTTACCTCTTAAAAGAATGGACTGGTTCTTAGCAGCCGCCATCTTCATCTTTTTTTTCTCGCACCATCCTCCTACGGTGTTAGCACATCGTTCAGCATCTTCTTTTAGCCTGGCTCTTCTGTTTGAGGTCACTACAACGGCCAGATCATCACAATAGGCCGTGACGGAGAACCGCTCCTGTTCTAGCACTCCCAGCAACTCATCGAAGACTAATTTCCACAGGGCTGGACCTAGAACCGAGCCCTGCGGACAACCTCTTTCCATCGACTCTTGTACTTCAAAGAAGCTACCTTTTATCTTCAATTTTCGGTCCAGGAGGTAGCTCCTTAAAAGCTCATATAAGTTGCTGGGAGCCTCATACTTCTGCAACTGCTGGAGTACGCTCGGCCACCAGACGCTATCAAAGGCGGAAGATATGTCGAACAGGAGAAGCATGAGATACTTCTCCGCCTTCTCTTCAACTTCACGGCGCACTCTGAGCTGGGCATCTACGGTTCCCCTGCCTTTAGTGGATCCGTACTGCCGTGGATGGCTAGCCCTAGAGAAGACTGGTCGTAGACTCATCATCAACAGGGTCTCCAATAATTTACTCATGATAGGGAGGAGGCATATAGACCTATACGACTTGGCTAATTGCTTGTCCTTGCCTCCTCCCTTGTAGAGGAGTCTAACATCAGCAATTTTCCAAGTTTTAGGAAAGTATCCCCTGTCCAGACAATCATTGAATAATGTCAAAAGCCTCAGTTCAATATATTGAACATTACCCCTATAGGGGGTACTGTTCCTGAGGATTGCTGCGTCTATGGAGTCTAATCCAGGTGCACGACCAGCCTTTTGCCACAGCAGAACGTAGATCCCATATGTCCGGTGGGGACAAGTCCGTACCAGGTGGGCATACCGTAGTGCGTCTTATAAATATTTCCTCTTCATTATCTTGGGTCGAATCATCTCTGAGGTAGGTCTCAGCTAGAAACATCTTTGCAGGCTCTTCCAGAGTGGTTGCCTGGGAAGATCCGCGCTTCAAAGCTGCAATAACTTGCTATGGAGCAAACTTACCAAGGGCCACTCTGTAAGGTACCCCCCAGGGATTCTTAGATAACTCCTGAACAATGAATTCGTCCCAAGGCTAACGCTTTCTTAACCGCACCTCGTTTTGGTATGCCCTGGCTTTAAATTTGTACTCATCACGAAGTGTTATGCGCCTCTCTTCGCAAGTACACTTCTGGTACGAGTGCCGAATCTTGTAGAGTTCTCTCTTCATTGTGGTTAAGGCCGGCGTCCACCATGGGACAAGTTGAGCCCTCACCTTCCGGTGCTGAAGGGGTTCTTCAGCGGTATCAGAGATGACATTAGTGATCCTGCACACTCAGTAATCCAGATCATCTGTTTCTTCCGTTTCCGCCGCATCCCTGTCTTCGTCGACCAATGTTCCCTCCAGCAATGACCGGAAGGCATTCCAATTTCCTCTTCGAGTTACGTAACCTTTTTCTTACCGAGTTACCGAGGGAAATTTCTGTATTTTTCGTCAGCCTAAAGGCTATCGCTTGGTGGTCCGAACTCGTCTCACATCGGAGTACCCAATCGATAATGCGGTTTGCCAGCACCGGTGATACCAATGTAACATCAATCAAGCTCTACGACCTAGCGCTAGAAAATGTCGGAGTAGCAGAGAGAGGGATCGTTCATAACCACTAGATGGCTTCGTGCAATGAATTCACCGAGCTTAGCACCCCTTCTATTAGTTCAATTAAATCCCCAGGCCGTGTTCCAGGAGTTGGTATCTGAGCATATGATCACATTCCTGGTGCAAGCCGTGATATGTCTTCGTCGATATCGCCTCCGTCCGGTAAATATGATGAGACAAGCGTAAAGGCAACATTATCCCATCTGATATGACAAGCAACACTATCCGCCATGGTAAACTGCCTCAGATCCATCACATCGAGGTTTGGATTGTTAACCACAATAGCAGCCCTGGGCCTTCTCTCTCTACTGCTCAAGACTATAACCCTCGATGTGAGGCCAAACCCCGTGACCTTGTTACCCTGTCAGCTCGGTTCCTCGACTGCCATGATGTCGTAGCTTTGCGAGAGAGCGCGTAGATCTTCCGCAACTAGATGCCGGTGGCCCATGTTGAGCTGGAGGATGGAAATCTTACTCATAAGAAGTCCTCGTCGCCATTTTTTTTTTTTAACCAATTTAAATGCACAGGACAATCACGACTGCCCGCCTTATGCTTAGTGTGCCTGAGATGAGCCTTTGCCCGTACACAGTTGATGCATGTTGGTCATGCCTGTTTTTTGGGGCACTCCTTGAGAAAATGTCCAGTACCTGCAGACCAGTGCTCAAAGGTCATTGACCACCATCCTCCATTCAAGCATGCCATGTCTAATAGGTGGAATCGTAGTGTTGGGTGCTCTTCCAGCACCCAGTTTTTAGTTATTCCATTCCTTGCTGTAGAAGAGAAAACAGGCCGAAATTCATCATTTACAAGCGAAGCTGGGATCGATTCACCAATTAACTTTACCCGTAAGAGCGTAATTAATGCCTCCGCAGTCCACGAATTGGGCACACCTTTAATTTCTAGCCTAGATCTTTTCTTTAGGGCAAGCTTGGCCTCTAGTCCTACTTCTCGCAGACTCTGTCACCCAATAACTTTCGCCGCTTGGGAGCTATCTTCCATCCGAACTAAGACCGACCCTCCCTTAGTAGCACGTACTATGGAGGCATTAACTCCTATTTCAGTCGGAGATGGCAGCCCATTGATGATTTCCATTGTACTTTTACCGTGCCCACTAATTGTGACGTAGGTGGGTTTAGAGTTGCATATCTCTGCCGGCTTCGATAGCAGAGATTTTACGATATCTGCCATTGTCCTTGATTTACTTCCTAAGTCCCTCCATAATTTTTGGCACCGTTTTTTCAATTACAAGTCGAGCAATCATCTCATGAATACTAGGAGTCGTAAGTGACTCATGAACCGCTTTTTGGATGAGCTCAGAAAAGTCTTCATTTGTGTGTACCTTCTTAATTTTATCATCTAGTGTTTCAATTATATCTATCAAAGTTAGAATTTTTCTATTTATATAATTCTGCACCTTGATATTCAAACCATTATCTGCCCTTTGAACATAAACCCTAAGGCCGATTGGAGTAGGCTTTTAGCTGCAGCCTCCTCCGAATTTGCCTCCAATTCAAGAGAACCCTTTCTTGCCCGTTTGGCATTTCGCTTGAAACCCTTTTGGGAACTCTCTTCTTCCATATCAATTACAATTGGGTCAACCATACTGTAAAGAAAGTTTTAAGCACTATAAAATTTATTTCTATTTATAGTACACTAAAGTTTACAGATTAACTAGCTACGTTTATTAACTGAAGGTTACCTTTCAATTATTGTCCAATGAAATTTGTATGTGAGT